ACATTCTTAGTTTCTTTGCGTTGACTTTGAACATGTTCTTTTAGCTCACAGAAGTTTCTCATTACCCACCTTCTAAAGTCTGATTCCATCATTTCATCACACTCATTCTCCATTCAGCTTTGTTCCCTTGCTGGTGAGGAGTTGTGATCCCTTGTAGGAGGCGAGGTGTTCTGGTTTTGGGTGTTTTCCTCCTTTTTGCGCTGGTTTCTTCCCATCTTTGTGGATTTATCCACCTGTCGTCTGTGTAGTTGCTGATTTTCAGATGGGGTCTCTGAGTGGACGACCAGATTGTTGATGATGAAGTTATTTCTGTTTCTTAGTTTTCCTTCTAACAGACTGACCCCTCTGCTTTAGGACTGCTGAGGTCCACTCCAGGCCCTGCTTGCCTGGGGGTCACCTGCAGCAGCTGCAGAACAGTAAAGATTGCTCCCAGTTTCTTCTTCTGCTATCTTTGTCCCAGAATGATGCCCGCTAAATGTCAGTCTGATTAGTCCTTTATGAGGTGACTCTTTGGATATATGGGGGTCAGGGAGCTGCTTGAGGAGACAGTCTGTTCTTTATAGGAGCTCAAGTGCTAAGCTTTGAGCTCCATTGTTCATTCAGGTCTGCTAGGAAGGTACGTTTAAGTCTGCTGCAGCAGAACTCATAAACCCCCTTTTTTTCCCCAGGTGCTCTGTTCCAGGGGGTTAGGGGTTTATTTATGGTATCTGTTGTGTTACTGCCTTCCGCCCCCGCCCCCCCCCCCGGCCTGTCCTGCCCAGCGAGGGAGCAGCCTAGTCACTGCCTCAGTGGAAGTTTTGCTGAGCCTCTGCTGTGGGTTCTGCCCTGCTGCTGGCTCTGCCCTGCTGCCATTTGTATTTCCCTGCAGTCCTGTTTATATGACTGTGGTTAGAACTGCCATGGCAATGTTGGCCCACCTCTGTAATGGCGGACTCTCTCTATTATGGCGGGTTGCCTCGGCAACAGCAGGCTGCATCAGCAATGGCAGACTACCTCCGTAGGGGTGGAGTACCTTGGTAATGGCTGACACCCCTCCCCCACAGAGCTGGGTCGTCCTGGTTTTAGCTGTGCTTGCCATGAAACTCTCAACCCCTAGTGTTTCCAATGGCTGTTTGTTTGTTTTTGTGGGCGTGGGACTTGCTGAGCCTGATCACCTGGTTCCCTGCCTCAGAGCCCCCTTTTTTTTAAGATGAATGGTTGACTCTCTCCCAGGTGTTCCAGTCACCTGCTGAAAGGGTGCCGGGATCTGTGTGATTTCCTGTGCAGCGACCCACTGCGCTGGCTGAAACAACGTGGCTGCCCGGGAATCTCCTGGCCTGCTTTATGTTTGAGTCCCGTTTAATCAGATGAATGGGCTAATCTGCCTTCCCAGATCTCAAATTGCCAGTTTAACAGGGCGACCAGACCAGTGTATTTTGTACGGAGAGCCGCTGCACTGCGGCACCAGCCAAAACAGCCACACCGGCAAAACAGCCGCTCTGGCGACCCATGGGGTTCCTCCACCTGGGAATCTCCTGGTCTGTGGGCAATAAAGATCCGTCTGGAAATATGGCGTCCACTCACCCTCTGTGCTTTCACTGGTAGCTGCAATCCTGAGCTGCTCCTAACAGCGCCATCTTCCTTCCGTTCTGTATCCATTTTCTTTAGTATTTGGATAGTGTTCTTCAAGAGAACAACTACTTCATACATGAAAATATCTTTAGGATATACCGCTCAGAGATGTGCCAGATCTTTGTTAGTAGAAATCAAATTTAAATGAATTACAAGCATAATTTTTTTTGAGACGTGGTCTCAGTCTGTCACATAGGCTGGAGTGCAGTGACGTGATCACAGCTCACTGCAGCCTCAACATCCCAGGCTCAAGTGATCCTCCAACCTCAGCCTCCCAAGAAGCCGGGACTATAGACATGCACCACCATGCCTGGCTAATTTTTATGTTTTTTGTAGAGACAGGGTTTCACCCTGTCACCCAGCCTGGTCTGGAGCTCCTGGCTTCAAGTGATCCACTTGTCTTGGCCTCCCAAAGTGCTGGGAATACAGGTGTGAGCCATTGTGCCCAGACATAAGTATAATTTTTTTAAAAAGATGTTGTATCTTCCTTTATTCAGTGATCATTGTATTTTGAACATGTGTATGTACATGAAATAATCTTTTTTAAAAATTCAGGTATAAAATACAGTGATGTGTATAGATTCAAAATGTACAACCTGATGAATTTCGTGTTTGTATGGGCTTGTGTAACCACCAGGCAGATCAGATATAGAGTGCCACAGCCCAGAAGATCAACTAGACATTTAACTTAGTCTTTGAGGTGAGGAGGAGAGAATTTAAAAGCATATGCTGGAGTCATTAAGACCTGTTTTGTTTGTTTGTTTTTTAAGATGGAGTCTCACTCTGTCTCCCAGGCTGGAATGCAGTGGCATGATCTCTGCTCACTACAACCTCTGCCTCCCAGATTCAAGCGATTCTTCTGCCTCAGCCTCCTGAGTAGCTAGGATTACAGGTGCCTGCCACCATGCCTGGCTAATTTTTTTTCTTTTTTCTTTTTTTTTGAGATAGAGTCTTGCTCTGTCCCCCAGGCTGAAGTGCAGTGGCACAATCTCAACTCACTGCAACCTCTGCCTCCCAGGTTCAAGTGTTTCTCCTGCCTCAGCCTCCCAAGTAGCTGGGACTACAGGGGCACACCACCACACCTGGCTATTTTTTTGTATTTTTAGGAGAGATGGGGTTTCACCATGTTAGCCAGGCTGGTCTCAAACTCCTGACCTCAGGCAATTCACCTTCCTTGGCCTCTCAAAGTGCTGGGATTACAGAATTGAGTCAGTGCACCTGCCCCAAGACCAACCGAATGCTCCTGCATTTGTGTTTCACCTGCTACAAGATGGGGTTATTGATATACCTACCATCCCGCTTTGTAAATGATGCTGTGAATTGTCTAGTGTAGTTTCTGGCCATGGTAAAGACTTAGTAAATGGTGGTGGCTTTATCAGACCTGTTGTAGAATGCTGAAGGATAGTAAATGAAATTGCATAGTGAATTAAGAATGGAAAAATAAATTGGGATATATTCACAAATGGAATAATATATCACCGTGCAGTGAATAATCTATAACTACATGCAGTGATGTAAGTAAATTACACAAATGTGAGTAATAGAAGTCAGACACAAAAGAGGATATACTGTGGCCGGGCACAGCGGCTCATGCCTGAACTTTGAGCACTTTAGGAGGCTGAGGCAGGCAGATCACCTGAGGTCAGAAGATCAAGACCAGCCTGGCCAACATGGTGAAACCCCGTCTCTACTAAAAATACAAAAGTTAGCCAGGTGTGGTGATACACTCTTATAGTTCCAGCTACTTGGGAGGCTGAGGCAGGAGAATTGCTTGAACCCACGAGGTGGAGGTTGCAGTGAGCCAAGATTGCGCCACTTCACTCCAGCCTGGTGACAGAGCAAGACTCCATCTCAAAAAGAAAAAAAAAAGAGTACATGCTATATAATTCCATTCCTATGCAACGCATACAGCTAAGTAAAAACTAACTTATGCTGCTATATGTCCAGTTGCAACTGGAAAGGGCTCAAAGTAGGGGTTCTCAGGGACTGGTAATGAAAGCCCTGCTTCTTAATCTGGATGCTGGTTGCAAAGGCATGTTGTTTTCAAAAATTTACTGAGCCGTACACTTAGAATATATGTGCTGTCAATCTATATGATAGAGTCAAGTAAAAGTCATTTAAAAAAATCAAGAATCTGGCCAGGCGCAGTGGCTCACATCTGTAATCCCAGCACTTTGGGAGGCCAAGGCAGATGGATCACCTGAGGTCAGGAGTTCAAGACCAGCCTGGCCAACATGGTGAAACCCTATCTCCACTAAAAATACAAAAAAACTTAGCCCGGAGTGGTGGCTCATGCCTATAATCCCAGCTACTAGGGAGGCTGAGGCAGGAGAATCACTTGAACTCAGGAGGCGAGGTTGCAATGAGCCAAGATCACACCATTGCACTCCAGCCTAGGCGACAGAGTAAAACTCCATCCCCCTCCCAAAAAAATCAAGAATCTGTAGAACCTGAAAACGGATGTTTCATGAGTATTTTAGTCTCTCAACATTATAAAAATGTAAGATATAAAATTGTTCTTAGTTACTTTACCTAGAAAAACAGGAGTTAATTTGTTATACAAATACATGTATTTCTGTGGTTCTTCAATACTTTTATTTCTCAGGGTTTATTGGAAGAAAGGATTTTTTTTTTTTGAGACAGGGTCTCACTCTCTTGCCCAGGCTGTAGTCTAGTGGGTTAATTATAGGTCACTGCAGCCTCAAATTCCTGTACTCAAGCAGTCCTCCTACCTCAGCCTCCCAAGTAGCTGGGACTACAAAGGCACATGACACCACTCCCAGCCAGTTTTTTGTATTTTTTAAAAGACGGGGTCTGGCTGTGTTGCACAGACTAATCTCAAACTCCTGGCCTCAAATGATCCACCTGCCTCAGCCTCCCAAAGTACTAGGATTACAGATATGAGACACCATGCCTGGCCAAAGGATCTAATTTTAAAGAAATCTTGGTCTATACCCAGAAAATAAGTAACAAGACTTCCTGGGAGCCTCCCTGTGTGGTGACTCTTTGCTTCATATATTGGTGCCATTTTGTCTCAGTGAAGTAAAAAGTTCCATTCATGGCCTGGGTACAATGGTTCAGGCCTGTAACCTTACCAGCACTTTGGGAGCCGGAGGCAAGCAGATCACAAGGTCAGGAGTTCAAGATCAGCTTGGCCAACATGACGAAACCCCATCTCTACTAAAAATACAAAAATTAATCAGATATGGTGGCACATGCCTGTAATGCCAGCTACTCCGGAGGCTGAGGCAGGAGAATCGCTTAAACTCGGGGGGCAGAGGTTGCAGTGAACCGAGATCATGCCACTGTACTCCAGCCTGGGCGACAGAGCAAGACTCATCTGAAAAAAAGAAAGGAAAGTTCAACTCACGTATCTTTCTGTCTTGTAGCCGTAAGCTGGCTGGTCCAAAGGACCGAAAGGGGATTGGCTGGATGGAGTTCCGCCTCCTCCACTATGCAGGGGAGGTCACCTACTGCACTAAGGGTGAGTGGCCATGGGGTACAGGTGACAGCCATGTATGTGCCCAACTTGGAGTCTTACAATAAGTTCTGAGTCTATGGAAGAAATGGTGTACAGCCATCCCAAACATTCCCTAACCTCACATTCAAGCCGTTTGAAAAAGTCTAATTGTATTGTTTTATTATTTTTGTAAACAACCACTTTATTGAGATGCAATTCACATATCATACATTTACCGCATTTAAAAATGTGCAATTCAGTTATTTTTGGCATTAATATATTCAGAGTTGTGACATTACCACCATTCATTTTATTTTATTTATTTATTTTGAGACGGAGTTTCGCTCTTGTTACCCAGGCTGGAGTGCAATGGCACGATCTCGGCTCACTGCAACCTCCACCTCCTGGGTTCAGGCAATTCTCCTGACTCAGCCTCCTGAGTAGCTGGGATTACAGGCACGTGCCACCATGCCCAGCTAATTTTTTGTGTTTTTAGTAGAGACGGGGTTTCACCATGTTGACCAGGATGGTCTCGATCTCTTGACCTCTTGATCCACCCACCTCGGCCTCCCAAAGTGCTGGGATTACAGGCTTGAGCCACTGCACCCGGCCTATTTTATTTTTATTTTGAGAGGGAGTCTTGCTCTGTCACCCAGGCTGGAGTGCAGTGGCGCAATCTCAGCTCACTGCAACCTCCACCTTCTGGGTTCAAGCCATTCTTTTCCCTCAGCCTCCCAAGTAGCTGGGACTACAGGCACCCACCACCACACCAGGCTAATTTTTTTTTTTTTTGTATTTTTAGTAGAAACAGGGTTTCACCATGTTGGCCAGGCTGGTCTGGAACTCCTGACCTCAAGTGAGCCACCCACCTCGACCTCCCAAAGTGGTGGGATTATATGAGTGAGCTACCACACCGAGCATTATTTTTACTTTAAAATAAGAGTATATTTCTAAGGGCTGGGCATGGTGGCTCACACCTGTAATCCCAGCACTTTGGGAGGCTGAGGCGGGTGGATTATGAGGTTAGGCGTTCGAGACCAGCCTGGCCAACATAGTGAAACCCTGTCTCTACTAAAAATACAAAAAATTAGCCGGGCATGGTGGCAGGCACCTTTAATGCCAGCTACTTGGGAGGCTGAAGCAGGAGAATTACCTGAACCTGGGAGGCAGCGGTTGCAGTGAACCGAGATCACGCCATTGCACTCCAGCTTGGGCAACAATGTAAGACTCTGTGTCAAAAAAAAATATGAAAAGAGTATATTTCTAAGAATCTTTTAAAAAGTAATAACACGTACAGGTATTCAGGGTTTTTTCTTTGAATGCAAAATGACACGAAGGTAAAAAATGTTTTTAATAGGATGAGTTTCTTTATACAGATAATCCCTTGATTTTTGTTTAAAGAATAAAGGTAATACATATGTAGAGCTAAAACCTGCTGACGGCACAGGAAGGAACAAAAGACAAAGTAAAATGCCCTTTTACTCTGTATCTCCCTCGGCGGGGACCACAAGAATCAACGATTACTTGTAACTACTTCCAGGAAAAGAGAAAGGTTTTTTGCATTCACCTATGAATGTGAGAACACACACACATACACACACACATACACACACACATACACATACACACATACACACACATACACATACACACACATACACATATATACACATACACACACATACACACACATACACACATACACACACATACACACACACACATACACACACACACATACACACATACATACACACACATACACACACATACACATACACACATACACATACACACACATACACACACACACATACACATACACACATACACATACACTCACACATACACACACACACGCACATACACGCACATACACACACATACACATACACATATACATACATACACACATACACACACATACACACACATACATACATACACACATACACACAAACACACATACATACATGCACACATACACATACACTCACACACACATACACACATACACACACACATACACACATACATACACACACATACACACACACACACAATCACTCACTCTTCCTTGATCTTACTTTTTCCATGTAGAAACTCTTTGTTGGTAGGAGTTTTCCATGTGCTTGGTGCCAGGCAGATGGGTGGGGTGGACATCATGGATATGGAGATCTGATTCTTTTACCACCTGCTCTGAGTTTTTCTACTTCTTTGTAGCACCAGGAATTATGTCATGTGCATATTTGAGTTCTGGGATATTGCTGGTAGTAATCTCATGCTGTATTATCTGGTTTTCGTTTTCTGTGTGGGGAATGAAGCCAGCTTGCTTCTATGCCACCATTTTTTTCTTAAACACTTTTGATGCATGTCTTTTTTATTTTTATTTAATCATTTTTTTTGAAAGAGGGTTTCACTCTGTTGCCTAGACAGGAGTGTAGCAGCACAATCGTGGCTCACTGCAGTCTTGACTTCCTGGGCTCAAGTGATCCTCCTACCTCAGCTCCCCAAGTAGCTGGGACTATAGGCATGTACCACCACATGCAGCTAAGTTTTTTAAAAAACAATTGTGTAGAGACAGGCTGGTCTCAAACTCACTATGTTGCCAAGGCTGATCTCAAATCCCTAGGCTCCAGCGATCCTCCCGCCTCAGCCTCCCAAAGTGCTGGGATTACAGGCATAAGACACCATGCTTGCCTGTCCCAATCCTTTTTTAAAACATCTGGTTTTGCCCTCATAATGCCATTTAGTTTCTAGTTTCTAGTGTAATTCATAACTGATTAAGTTTTAGGTAAACAGATAAGCCACGTTTTCAACCTGGAAATGACTTGTCTGTCTTTGTCTGAAGATGCTGTTGGGCCCCCACCAGCCGTGGTGCTTGAGTTTGTGGGTTTGTTTTTTCTCTGTAGTGGGGAATTTTCCCAGCTGGCTGTCCTTGAGGTTCAGTGTCCCCTCTGTTTCTGTATATTTAGTGTATGTGTGTTTATTTGCTATTGGACTAGGGCAGGTGTACAATAGTTAGTTCAAGGATTATGCATATTTATATGCTGGCTCATCAGGGTTGAGTATAGCATTTGTGCCATGAGTTCAGTTCTGAGGTCCCAGTTCTCACTGAGGGACATGTTACCCCCCAGGGATATGTGGCAATGTCTAGTATATTTGTCCATTCTTACATTGCTGTAAAGAACTACTGAGATTGGGCAATTTGTAGAGAAGAGAGGTTTAACTGACTCGAAGTTCTGTAGTCTGTGCAGGAAGCATGGCTTGGGAAGCCTCAGGAAACTTACCATCGTGGCGGAAGGTGGGGGGAAGCAAGCACATCTTACGTGGCTGGAGAAGGAGGAATAGAGTGAAAGGGGAGGTGCTACACACTTTTAAACAACCAGATATGGTGAGAACTATCATGAGAACATCGAGGGGGAAATCTGTCCCCATGATCCAGTCACCTTCCACCGGGCCCCTCTCCCAACGCTGGGGATTGCAATTTGTCTTGAGATTTGGGTGAGGGTACAGACCCAAACCATATAATCTAGAGATACATTTGGTTGCTGCAACTGCGGAGAGTGTTACTGGGATCTAGTGTAAATAGAGGCACGGGACAGCCCCCACCGCAAAGAATGATCCAGCCCTTGGCTGGGCGCAGTGGCTCATGCTTGTAATTCCAGCACTTTGGGAGGCCGAGGTGGGTGGATTACTTGAGGTCAGGAGTTCAAGACCAGCCTGGCCAACATGGTGAAACCCCATCTCTACTAAAAATACAAAAAATTAGCCAGGCACGGTGGCAGATGCTTGTAATCCCAGCTACTCTGGAGACTGAGGCAGGAGAATCAACTGAACCCAGGAGGCAGAGGTTACAGTGAGCTGAGATCCTGCCACGGCACTCCAGCCTGGGCAACAAGGCAAGACTCTGTCTCAAAAAAAAAAAAAAAAAAAAAAAAGACCCAGGCCCAAATGTCCATAGTGCCAAGGCTGAGAAACTGTAATCTAATCCAAAGACGTTATTTTTCAGAATTTCCCTTTGCAATGAGTTGGGATGGAATTGTATTTTTAGGCAGAACCGTTGATTCAAAAAAATTTTATTCAATATTTTACAGGATTCTTGGAAAAAAACAATGATCTTCTTTACAGACATCTGAAAGAAGTAAGTCTGAAACTTAACTGTATGTGTTTCTGATGATTTTGAAATATTACCCATGCTAGTGATTTTGGTAGAATTTGCCTTCTGAATTTTTCTTTTCCATGTGTCGTGTTAGAACTCCAGCATATCATGGCCAGAACAGACATTTAAGATCCTCTGTGTGGACACTTCACTCAACAAACCATTCAGATGTGTGTGGTGCCTGCCCCTCCTGGGTACCAGCTCTGAACAGGACAGAGTTCTTGTTCTTATGGGGCTTACAGTCTGGAGTTGGGGAAGAGAGAATAAACATATACACAAATAAGTTATCTGTCAGTGAGAATACTACAAAGAGAATAAACAAGGAATTGTGGTTGAAGGTGACATTTTAAATTTAGGTGATTAATCACCCCCTCAGAGGTAACTTTGAGCTAAAATGTGAATGAGAATGCTTTTGGCCATACAAGGATCAGAAGTTATTCCACATAGAAGGACAAGCATGTACAAAGGTCCTGTGGCCTGGAAGAGGAGAAATGTCAGCAGAGGGGACTGAGAGCTTAGCTGGGGCAGGTCCACAGGGGAAGTAGAGATTTCGTTCTGGTGTCATGAGAATATACTGAGGCGACATGATCTGAGGATGAGGAAGCTGAGACCCAGACAGGTCACAACTTTCACAAGGCATGAGGTGGGGGCTGGAGACAGTATTAGCCCCCAGGGCTGCCAATGGAATTCCCAATCTCTTTGCCTTTCCATATATCTCATCAATCTGAAAAATGCTGCTGCTGCTGCTGCTGCTGTTTTTGAGACACGGTCTCCCTCTGTCACCCAGGCTGGAGTGCAGTGGCACCGTCATAGCCCACTGTGGCCTCAGCCTCCTGGGCTCAAGTGATCCTCCTGCCTCAGTCTGTGTACCTGGGACTTCAGACACACACCACCACACCCAACTGATTTTTTTTTTTTTTTTTTTTTTTGTAGAGACAGGGTTTTGCTGTGGTTGCCCAGGCTGGTCTCGAACTCCTGGCCTCAAGTGATCCTCCCATCTCACCCTCCCAAAGCGCTGGGATTGCAGGCATGAGCCACCGCGCCATGCCTAAAACCTTAATTTTTTTAAGGCCCTTATTTTGTATTAAAATACTTAACTGTTTTATACAAAATTAGATTATATTAGCTTGTTTTATAAAAAGCTTAAACCTAAAGGTAACACTTTCAAGTGAGCAGGTGAACAGTCACCTCAGGAGTTTTTTCTGCCTTCCTGGACTTTCTCTACCACTCTGGGACTGCTTATCTCAACCTTTTCGGACTCAGGGTAGACGAGCAACTCCTAACTTTGGATCCACCAGACAGTCACTCTCTTGGTCTGAGTCCCAGTCCAGCCCCTTCCCTGCTGGGGATTTTGTGGCCAATTTCCCCATGGGTGAAGTGGGCCTGCTGATGTCCTCCTCATGCAGTAGCGGTGAAGAACACGGGAGTAGAAGTGTCTGGTTGACAAATGGAGACAGCGTTTCTCCAACAGCTTCCCCTCTAGGGGTCACGACCATCAGCTTCACAAACCAATCCACGGAGAGGACATCACACAGAAAGAATCTCCGAATCTCTCCCCTCACCAACCAGGGCAGGATGGAACACTTCTAATTGTTTTCTTTACTGTTGGAAGATTGTTCTTCCGTATCACTGTAGTTTAGAACGGCAATGGGTTAAACAACAACAAAAATTCAATTAAAAAAACTGGGAGGCCAGGCTCAGTGGTTCACACCTGTAATCCCAGGACTTTGGGAGGCCGAGGTGGGTGGATCGCTTGAGCCCAACCTGGATGACATGGCGAAACCCCATCCCTACCAAAAAAAATGACCTAGGTGTGGTGGCGTGCTCCTGTAGTCCCAGCTACTTGGGAGGCTGAGGTGGAAGGATTGCTTGAGCCCAGAAGGGAGAAGTGCAATGAGCTGTGACCACACCACCGCACTCCAGCCTGAACGACAGAGTGAGACCCTGTCTCAAAAAAAAAGGAAAAAAATCTTTTTAAGTCATGGCAAAACATACATAACAAAATTGAGCATTTTAATCATTTTATTTATTTGTTCTTTTTGAGACAGTCTTGCTCTGTCACCCAGACTGGAGTGCAGTGGTGTGATTTCAACTCACTGCAACCTCTGCCTCTCAGGTTCAAGCAATTCTGCCTCAGCCTCCCCAGTAGCTGGGATTACAGGCGGGCACCACCATGCTGGGATACTTTTTTTGTGTGTTTTTAGTAGAGATGGAGTTTCCCCATGTTGATCAGGCTGGTCGCGAACTCCTGACTTCAGATGATCCATCCGCCTTGGCCTCCCAAAGTCCTGGGATTACAGGCATGAGCCAATGCGCCCGGCCGCATTTTAGTCATTTTAAAATGTACAATTCAAAAGTGTTGATTAGATTTACACTGTTGTGTGGTTAATCTCCAGAACTGTTTGCATCATGTAAGACTGAAACTCAGTCTCCACTAAACAACTACTCTCTCTTCCCCCTCCCAGCAGCCCCCGGAAATACCATCTACTTTCTACCTCTAGGAACTTGACTCCTCTAGGGACCTTATATGAGTGGAATCAGTGTCTGTCTTTTTGCGACTGGCTTATTGCACTTAGCATAATAAGCATAATACTTGTTTCACTTAGCATAAGTTTCATTCATGTTGTGGAATATGTCAGAACCACCCATTTGAAGGCTGAATACTATTCCATGCTACGTATATAGGGAAAATATTATTTTTCTTGGTAGAGAATTCAATTTTAAAAGAATTAAGGACTTTTGGTCATGTGGATTATTTTTAAAATACATGCACAGGGGAGAAATCAAGCAGTACAAAAGCTAGTGCCCTGGGCCCCATGTCGGCAAGTCTCTCTCCCGGGAGCTAGCTGCCCTCACTTTTGTATTGTGGGACCTTCCAGGGACCACACAGTGTGTGTATGTGTGTCTCTTTTTTTCTGTTTCTCTTTGCACAATAATGGCGCACTGTGTGTGGGGGTCTGCATCTTGCTTTTTTCACGTAACACCGTTATCTTGAAGGTCATTCTTTTTTTTCTTTTTGAGACAGGGTCTCTGTCACTCAGGCTGGAGTGCAGTGGCGCAATCATAGTTCACTGCAGCCTCAACCTCGAAGGCTCAAGTGATCCTCCCACCTCAGCCTCCTGAGTAGCTGGGACCATAGGCGAGCACCCCTACACCTGGATTTTTTTTTTTTTTGGTAGAGACAAGGTTTTGCTATGTGGCCAGGCTGGTCTCAAACTCCTGGGCTCAAGCCATCTTCCTGCCTCAGCCTCCCCAAATACTGGGATTGCAAACCTAAGCCCTAGCATTCCCGGCCTAGGATCATTCCTTTTTTTTTTTTCCACACAGAAAACTTTTTGTTTTCTTTTTTATTATTATTATACTTTAAGTTCTGGGGTACATGTGCAAAATGTGCAGGATTGTTACATAGGTATACATGTGCCATGGTGGTTTGCGGCACCCATCAACCCGTCATCTACATTAGGTATTTTTCCTAATGCTCTCCTTCCCCTAGACCCCTACCCCCTGACAGGCCCTAGTATGTGATGTTCCCCTCCCTGTGTCCCTGTGTTCTCATTGTTCAACATCCACTTATGAGTGAGAACATGTAGTGTTTGATTTTCTGTTCCTGTGTTAATTTGCTGAGAATGATGGTTTCCAGCTTCATCCATGTTCCTGCAAAGGACATTCTCTCTTCCTTTTTATGGCTGCATAGTATTCCATGGTGTATATATGCCACATTTTTTAATCCAGTCTATCATTGACGGGCATTTGGGTTGGTTCCAAGTCTTTGCTATTGTGAACAGTGCCACAGTGAACATACATGTGCATGTGTCTTTATAATAAAGTGATTTATAATCCTTTGGGTATATATCCAGTAATGGGATATCTGGGTCAAATGGTATTTCTGTTTCTAGATCCTTGAGGCATCGCCACACTGTCTTCCATATGGTTGAACAGATATATACTCCCCAACAGTGTAAAAGCGTTCCCATTTCCCCACATCCTCTCCATCATCTGTTGTCTCTTGATTTTTTAATGATCGCCCTTCTTGGGATCATTCTGAAAGGGGCAGTTTATTCTGAAGCAGCTGCACTAAACCAGGGACAATTTTTGCTTTATCATGTCTGAGAAAAACCAGCTGGCCTCAGCAAGTAGCCAAAGCAGTGGACAAAGGATGTGAACACGGTCTTCCGTATTTGATTGTGTCGTTCCCCTTTCTTGACATCAGGAATGTCTGCAAGCGTTCAAGAAGCAGATGGCTCTGTTGCTTCGCATGCACTTCCGTGAGCTGTCCCGACGGCCCTGTAGTGTTTGATGAAACAGTGAATGTGAATGTGGTGCTCATTTCTCTTCACTTACAGGTGCTGTGCAAGTCCAAGAATGTTATCCTGAGGGAATGCTTCCTGCTGGCCGAGCTAGAAAACCGGAGGAGGCCCCCAACAGTGAGTGGGAAAATTCCCATGCAAAATTGGAAAGGGAACAAAAATTCCCCAGAGGATGAGATGACCACCAGCTACCTACACTGTTTAAGCCACCTTCCCCTTTTCTGGAAGTGTTATTCTCTAACAGATTCTACTAAATGTATGCATCTGTAATCTCACACCTGTAATCCCAGCACTTTTGGAGGCTGAGGCAGGAGGATCACTTGAGGCCAGGAGTTCAGGACCAGACTGGGCAACATAATGAGACCCTGTCTCTGCAATAAAAATTAAAACAAATCAGTGAGACAAAATTTGGGTACATTAAGGCCGAGTGCAGTGGCTCACGCCTGTAATCCCAGCACTTTGGGAGGCTGAGGCAGGTAGATCACAAGGTCAGGAGATTGAGACCAGCCTGTCCAAGATGGTGAAACCCCATCTCTACTAAAAACACAAAAAGTAGCTGGGCATGATGGCAGGCACCTGTAATCCCAGCTACTTGGGAGGCTGAGGAAACAGAATCGCTTGAACCTGGGAAGCAGAGGTTGCAATGAACCAAGATTGTGCCACTGCACTCCAGCCTGGCAACAGAGTGAGACTCCATCTAGGGAAAAAAAAAACCCAAAACTTGGATGCATTAATAACATAAAGAAAGAAAAAATAAATTAGCGAGGTGCAGTGGTGTGCATCTATAGTCCCAGCTATTTTGGGAGGCTGAGGCAGGAGGATCCCTTGAACCCAGGCGTCTGAAGTTACAGTGAGCCATGATTATGCCACTACACTCCAGACTAGGTGGCAGAGCAAGACCCTGTCTCTTAAAAAATCACTTGGAACGTGGCTTATAATATATATATTAACTTCGAATGTGATATTCATGTTCCAAGTTTAGCGTCAGTTTGTTCGCGTGTAGGCATTCATTGAGCAGCTCCTACTATGTATACGTGGCAGGCACTGTGCCAGGTACAGGGTTGTAGCAATAACAAGCCAGATGAGGTCCCTGCCCTCAAGGGACTTACGAGCTAATGGGAGAGGGTATAGGAAAATACCATCAAATAAAGAAAGAACTTGGGCCGGGCGTGGTGGCTCACACCAGCACTTTGGGAGGCTGAGGCGGGTGGATCACAAGGTCAGGAATTTAAGACAAGCCTAGCCAAGATGGTGAAACCCGGTGTCTATTAAAAATACAGAAATTAGCCAAGCCTCGTGGCAGGTGCCTGTAATCCCAGCCACTTGGGAGGCTGAGGCAGAGAACTGCTTGAACCTGGGAGGAGGTAGAGGTTGCATTGAGCCAAGATTGTGCCACTGCACTCCAGCCTGGGCGAGAGAGCGCGACTCAGTCTCAAAAAAGAAAGAAAGTTAGAAAGAACTTATAATAATGCCAGCATCATGAAGGACGCATGTCAACAAAGAAACACAAAGGAAGGTGGCGGAGGGCGGCAGGCCCGGGGCAGCACTGGTTCCTGCCGGGCGCTCACCACGTCTTTGCCAAGCAAGTGACGCATCCTAGACAGATGCTGGTCCAGCTTCCACGTGACCAGACCAAGTTTGGGTTCCTCAGGTCAGGACATCCAAAGCCACCTCTCAGTGGGCCAAAGGGCCACTAGGAGGACAACCTGTCACTAGTTCAGCTCTACAGGGCTGGTACCTTGAGCCCTGGCCAGGCTTCTCTGTATTCACTGGAAGCAGCAATGTCTCCTCGGCTCGTTCTCTCTCTCTCTTTCTCTCTCTGCAGGTGGGGACTCAGTTTAAAAACAGTCTGAGCAGCCTTCTAGAAATTCTCATCTCTAAGGAGCCCTCATACATCCGTTGCATCAAGCCCAATGACAGGAAAGAACCCAGTGAGTTATGAATCGCTGTGAACTGGGCTCAGGGAAAGGAGGCTGGGAGGCAAAGTGAGGTGGCAGTTGGGATCTTAAACACCACCACAAGCTCGCTCGATGTCCTCTGGATGTGAATCATTTTCCTTGCTAAATTATAGAAGTTGCCGGGCATTACAGGCTCACACCTGTAATCCCAGCACTTTAGAAGGTTGAGTGAGGCAGATGGAGCATTTGAGCCCAGGAATTGGAGACCAGCTTGGGCAACATGGCAAAACCCCATCTCTACAGAAAATACAAAAATTAGCCAGGCATGGTGGCATGTCTCTACTAAAAATACAAAAACTAGCTGGGTGTGGTGGCACATGCCTGTAGTCCCGTCAAGTTGGGAGTCTGAGATGGGCGGATAAATTGAGCCCAGGAGTTCAAGGCTGCAGTGAGCCATGATCATGCCACTGCACTCCAGTGTGGGTGACAGGGTGAGACCCTATCTCAAAAAATAATAACAATAGAAGGTAAGTGAATTCCTTTGGTGGTTCAGAGTGAGCATTGCTCAGAGCTTGGTCAGTTTCAGGAGCAACATAGCTGAGCCAAGGAGGTGTCAGAGGGGAGGGGAGTAAGCGTCGCTCTTTTCCAAGCGGGGAACAGTCTTCCAAAACGATCTATTACTTGGGGAGTTTCTAAGCTCTTGCCATGGTCTTTAATGAAGTCGTACCATCAGAGGCTCACAGAGGCCAGGCAGGAAAAGCAAATGAGTGAGGCAGGCAGGTTGTAAGGCAATAGGGAGTGGAGGGGACTGCCACAAACTGGAAAAGGGACGTTCTGTCTAAAGAGTCAGCAGCGCTACTCCTCTCCTGCTAGCTGTTGCCATGTGGGACTCTGGGCCCACAGTAGCCAGATCTCGACTTTTCAAAGGAACCAGAAATTTAATTTTTCCTATAATATTCCACCATTTAAAAAACACAATTGGGCTGGGTGTGGTGGCTCATGCCTGTAATCCCAGCATTTTGGGAGGCCGAGGCAGGTGGATCACCTGAGGTCAAGAGTTTGAGACCAGCCTGGCCAACATGGTGAAACCTTGTCTCTACTAAAAATACAAAAATTAGCCAGGCGTGGTGGCACGCACCTGTGTAGATACTCAGGAGGCTGAGGCAGGAGAATCACTTGAACCCAGGAGGCGGAGGTTGCAGTGAGTTGAGTTTATGCCACTGCACTCCAGCCTGGGTGACAAGAGTGAAACCTGTCTCAAACAAAACAAAACACGATTAAGGGCTCATGAAACATGTCTAGGGCCAGACCCAACACACCAAACTTCAGCTTGCAGCCTGTGATCTGTCTTGTTGAAATGAAGCCATGGGGTCCTCTTCTGTTTCTTCAAAGGCAAATTTGATGACTTCCTCATAAGGCATCAGATCAAATACCTGGGGCTGATGGAGCACCTGCGGGTGAGACGGGCTGGCTTTGCGTACCGGAGGAAATACGAGCATTTCTTGCAAAGGTAAAATGTATTTTATTGATCTGAAGCCAGTAGTCATGTGCCTACTATGTGAGAATCTCTGGGGTTTGAAGATAAATAAAATGGCATCCCTTAGGAAGCTCAGTTTGATTCTCTCTCTCTCTTTTCTTAAACGAAGTCTCATTCTGTTGCCAAGGCTGGAGTGCAGCCACGTAACCTCAGCTCACTGCAACCTCCACCTCCCGGGTTCAAGTGATTCTCCTGCCTCAGCCTCCTGAGTAGCTGGAATTACAAGCGCCCACCACCATAACTGGCTAATTTTTGTATTTTTAGTAGAGATATAGTTTCACCATGTTGGCCAGGCTGGTCTCAAACTCCTAACCTCAGGTGATTCACCTGCCTTGGCCTCCCAACATGCTGGGATTACAGGCATGAGCCAATGCACCCGGCTCAGTTTCATTCTTAACTTCTGTAGTTATGACAGGTAAAAACACTAACATCTGGGAGAATATAAAAACCCAGCTCTGGGTGTGGTGGCTCATGCCTGTAATCCCAGCATTTTGGGAGGACTAGGTGGGAGGACTGCTTGAGGCCAGGAGTTTTCAACCAGCCTGGGCAACATGGCAAAACCTACTCTCTACAAAAAAAACAAACAAACAAATTAGCTGGGTGTGGTGGTGCATACCTATAGTCCCCACTACTCAGAAGGCTGATGTGGGAGGATCACCTGAGCTTGGGAGGTTGAGGCTGCAGTGAACTTGAGACCGTGCCACTGCACTCCAGCCTGGGTGACAGAATGAGACCCTGTCTCAAAAAAAAAAAAGTTTATTATTTTTTTTACAAAACTCAGTTTACCACATTCTGTTCATTTCACTAATCACTGACTGTTTACAGTCAAGGGCAAGGCCAAGTGCATAGACCTGCCACCAGGGGGCGGCCGTGGGCAGTGCCCCACGGGCCTCTGAATTAGCAGGGGAAGCCGAGTCCATTTGTGACCATAGGGTCTGGTTTAGTGCCTTAGCACAACAGGCCATCAAGAGCAGCAAGTTAGTAGTGAGGACATGGGTTTTCAACCCACACAAACTTGGGTCTTAATCCTCATTCTCTTATAGCTGTGACCTATTATTTCCTTATCTGTAGGATTAAACAGTCTGAGCTCCGGGAGTGTGTAAAGATTTAATGAAATATTTCTATGCCTACTCTCACCTCTTCAGTGATGGGCTGTGTGTGAATTTATGCTATCAAAATAGCAACACAACTCTCAAGCATAATAAATGGTCACTTTCATAGGTCTGAATGGTTGAATATCAGTGATTTCATGTGGTTCAACCTAATATTTTGAGTGTAGTCTTTTGAGACTCTTTGCCCTTATTTTTCCTGTATGTACCTCCTTTGCCCACCATTTTTGCCCATCAGCTATTTATCATTCATTCATCCTCATCCCAAATCTGACTTCTGCAGCAGATGGCAAGGGCAATAGCCACTGCCCACCTCACCCTCCAAACACATATGCACTTGATGTTCCCATCTACCTGTGTTTATTGAACTTCATACATCTCTTGTTTATTTTTGCTGCTGTCTGAGGCTCATTCATTCTTTCCATAAAAACTAGTGAGCAGACCACGCATGTTGGCTTACAGCTGTAATCCCAGCACTTTGGGAGGTGGAGGTGGGTGAATCACTTGAGGTCAGGAGTTCAAGACCAGCCTGGCCAACATCGTGAAACCCCATCTCTCCTAAAAATACAAAAATTAGCTAGGCATGGTGGTGCACGCCTGTAATTCCAGCTACTCTGGAGGCTGAGGGATGAGAATCATCTGAGCCCGGGAGGCAGAGGTTGCAGTGAGCTGAAATCACACCACTGTACTCCAGCCTAGGTCATAGAACGAGACTCTGTATCAAAACAAACAAAACCAGTGAGCAGCTATCTGAGCTAGCATGGTCCTAGGTACTGGGGTAACCGCAGAGAACAGGACAGGCCCCATCCCTGACCTACTTTCTATGGGGAGACCAATAAGAACAAAGATGGAAAGTTAGCCTTCCACATCCACAGGTTCCACATCCAAGGAGTCAACCAACAGTGGACGGAAAATGCTTTGAAAAACACAAGAGTAATACACATGAAAAAGCAATACAGTATAATAACTATACATAGCATTTGTCTGTTATTAGCTATGACAGGTAATTGAGGGATGGTTTAAAGTGTACAGGAGGATGTACTTGGGTTATATGCAAACACTATGCCATTGTTTTAAATCAGGGATTTGAGCATCTGTGGATTTTGTATCCATAGGGGTCCTGGAACCAATCCCCCACAGATACTGAGGGGTGATTGTATAAGGCCAGGCAGGGATATGTTATTTGAAGAAAAATGAATCCAAGTAAGGGGGAAAAGTGGCCAGGCTCCCTCCTCTGAGTGAGGGAGTGAGCCATGAGGACATTTCGTGTCTTAGTCTGTTTGGGCTGCTGTAATAAAACACTGTAGACTGGGTAGCTTCTAACCAATGGAAGTTTCTCACTGTCTGGAGGCTGGGAAGTCCAAGATCAAGGCGCTGGCAGACTCAGTGTCTGGTGAGGGCTGGCTTCCTGGTTTGTAGATGGTGCCTTCTTGTTGTATCTTCACATAGTGGAAGGGGGAGATGAGCTCATAAGGGCACTAATCTCATTTATGAGTGCTCTACCCTAGTGACCTAATCACCTGTCAGAGGCCCTGCCTCCTAACACCATCACATTGAGAGTTAGATTTCATCATATGAATTTTGTGGAGACACAGATGTTCAGCCCATAGCATTCAGGGAACATCAATCCAGGCAGGAAAGCCTGGAGGTGGGAGCAGGCTCCAGGGCAAGCTGAGAGGCCAGCATGGCAGCTGGTCAGTAGCTAGGAGCAGAGAGTCAGGGGGAGATTCAGGGGACTGGGCTGGATATGCCTGAACCCTGTGCACCCACCTGGCACCACTTCCCTTGATATGGGAGCAGCCATATCATTAGAGTTGAAGAAGACAGAAGGTACTAGTCCCTCCAGCCTGCAGGCACTTAGGGTCTCTCCCCATCCCCTCCATATCTGTCTAGCTTTGGCAGTGCATGCTGGTATTGGGCAGGGTCAGCCTGGATGAAAGCAGGGCCCGAGGCTGTGCTGTATCCCCTGGGGGTGGTGGAGGCCCCATCTTCCCCAACTTTCACTGGAGTTCAGGAAGCACATGTCCTGCACGTTTGTGTGGTGGAACATGGGACACTCAACACCCTTAAAGAAAATGCTTCTAAAGTATAATTCCAGGAAAATAAAAATAGTTTTGGCCAGGCATGGTAGCTGATGGCCTGTAATCCCAGGACTTTGGGAGCCTTGAGGAGCTTGAGACCAGCCTGGCCAATATGGTGAGACCCTGTTCCTACTAAAAATACAAACATTAGCCAGGTGTGGTGGCACACGCCTATAATCCCAGCTACTCAGGAGGCTGAGACAGAAGAATCGCTTGAACCCGGAGTTAGAGGTTTCAGTGAGCCAAGATCGTGCCACTGCACTTCAGTCTGGGTGACAGAGTGAGACTCTGTATCAAAAAATATATATACATGTATTTTTTTTACAGTTTAAAATATTTTAAAATGAACATGGTATGAAAGGAAGGAGCATATTGGGAACACCATTGCTAGCGCTCCTTGAGTCTCGGACTAGAACCAAATACCTGGTGTGTATTAGCTCGTTTAAACCTCATGAGAACCCCATGAGGAAGGTCCTGTTACTATTCATGTCGCACAGGTGAGGCGGTGACTCCTCCACTCCGGAGCTGCACGGGAGCCCAGGCATTCTGTTTCTACGCCGGTGCCTCTGGTTGTGTTGCTTCCAGCCTTGATCCGTCTGCACTTCTGAATTCTGCGTTCACTTATTTTGTTATATTACAGACATCACGCTTCTCTTTCTAGTGACTACAGGGTAGAAGAGGATTGCATGCTGAAATCACGTTCTTGTTTGTTTGAGTCAGAGTTTCGCTCTTGTTGCCCAGGCTGGAGTACAGTGGCACAACCTCAGCTCACTGCAACCTCCGCCTCCCAGGTTCAAGCAATTCTCCTGCCTCAGCCTCCCAAGTACCTGGGATTACAGGCATGCGCCACCATGCGCCACCATGCCTGGCTGATTTTGTATTTTTAGTAGAGACAGGGTTTCTCCATGTTGGTCAGGCTGGTCTCAAACTCCCAACCTCAGGTGACCTACCTGCCTCAGCCTCCCAAAGTGCTGGGATTATAGACATGAGCCGCTGCACCCAGCTATTGGAATCAGGTTCTTAACACTGGACCCAAAATTACCCCTGGGAAGAAAAAAAGAGGCCCCCATCACTTCCCAAGCATGGAACCCTTTCTTTCTCTTCTCTACTCTTTCTTGAGACAGGGTCTCTTCTGTTACCCAGGCCGGAGTGCTCACTGCAGCCTCAACCTCCTAGACTCAAGTGATCCTCCTGCCTCAGCCTCCTGAGTAGCTGGGACTACAGGCATACACTGCCACACCTGGCTAAAAAAAAAAATTTTTTTTAAGTAGAGATGAGGTCTGCCCACGCTGGTCTCAAATTCCTGGCCTCAAGTGGTCCCCCTGCCTTAGCCTCCCAAAGTGCTGGGAGGCACCATACCTGGCCCCAAGCATACAACTCTTTCATCTGGTGCTAGAACATTTGTTTGTTCAGTTTTCTGTTGATAGACATCTGGGTTGTGTCCACCTTTTGGCCATTATGAATAACAGCACCATGCACTACTGCACCCAGTACACCCAGCGGCCGCTGTGAACACGCAGGCATGAATGTTCGGACACCATTTCATTTCTCTTGGACAGATACCTAGGAGTGGAATCGAGTCACTGGGTTGGGCATCTGATGACGTCATTGTCCTACAGAAGTCAAACTCCCCACCCTGTTGAAACAGTTTCTCTCCTTTCTTTCTTGCAAAGCACCTATCTTTGAATTTGAGGAAGTTCGTGTGATGGGACTGCTATATACGCTGAGTGGCCGATGTGCCATGGCAGTGCTCAGCAGGCTTCTGGGGCCGGGGCTGTGGGGAAGGGCTGTAGGAACATACAATCACAGCTTCTCCATGTCTCTCTTCTCCTGCTAGGTACAAGTCCTTGTGCCCAGACACCTGGCCACACTGGCACGGGCCTCCAGCAGAGGGTGTGGAACGGCTGATCAAGTACATCGGCTACAAACCCGAGGAATACAAGTTAGGCAAGTAAGTGACCAGGGGACCACCACGTGGTCTCTTCCCTTGACATCAGAGGGTTTTGTGCATTGGTCTGTATCCATCTAGAGCCAGGAGACTCGATTCCCAGGGACTTACGGAGGTTTACAAGATTATGCTTCATCTACTCAGTGTAAATGCAGCTCTTAATTCTTTAGAAGAGCTGTGGTGTTGCAGCGGGGAGGAGATGAAGTTCTAAAGGAACTACACTGACTCAGCAGATGGGCCTCCTCGCTAGCAAAGCAGAGGGGACCAGAGGGGCCATCTAACCTCTGTGTGCCTGGATTCTTTCACTATTCCCATGTACGTGTGACCTGCCAGAGGAGCTATGGGGACTTAAACGATGTGAGATTGACAGAAATGTAGCATTTCAGAAATGATGTCCTAGGCCGACTGCAGTGGCTCACGCCTTTAATCCCAGAACTTTGGGAGGCCAAGGCAGGTGGATCACGAAATCAGGAGATGGAGACCATCCTGGCCAACATGGTGAAACCCCATCTCTACTAAAAATACAAGCCTTGCGTGGCGGCGCATACCTGTAACCCCAACTACTCAGGAGGCTGAGGCAGGCGAATCACTTGCACCCAGGAGGCAGAGGTTGCAGTGAGCCGAGATCGCACCACTGCACTCCAGCCTGGGCAACAGAGCGAGACTCCATCTTAAAAAAAAAGAAAAAGAAATGGTGTTCTGGAACTCTTAACTGCAGAGTCATAGTTGTCTGTGAGCAGAGAACTTTTGTACACATTGAAAGCTTTCAGGCACAACTCAAGGGGCATCAGTCAGGAAGATGTGAGTCCCTTTTGTTGGTCATTTTGGTCAGGGTTAACGTGGTTGCAGGGATGGGGCCCTGGCTTGAAGATCTGTTCCCCGGCACAGAGCTTCCCTGCTGCAGAGATCTCTGCCTTTGATCCTATTCACGGGCTTTCCCCCAACTCCTAACTCCCACTTGTACATGGCCGCCTGGGATGCCTTGGTCTCTCTCCATCTTTAGGCTCCTATTCTGGGCCTTTTCCAATAATCAGTTACGTATTCAATCCAAATCCCTAAGGGGATTCTGCAAGGCTCAGCTCATCCTGAGGGAGGCAGACCATGGAGGTCAGAGGTGGGATCCGTCTGTTCCCTGTTCCATAAACTGTAACAGGGACAAGGGAGAGTGGGTCTCACCAGATACCACCCACTGCTGCCCCCAGTGGCTGCCCTGGAACTTTCCCTCCCCACTCAGGGCAATGTGGGGTCAGTATTTGTAACTTCTCTCTGCTGGCTAATGTGATCTTCTTCCTTCTTTCTTTCTTCTTTCTTCTTCCTTCCTCCTCCTCCCTCCTCCTCCTCCAAGTCTTGCTCTGTTGCCCAGGCTGGAGTACAGTGGTGCAATCTGGGCTCACTGCAACCTCTGCCTCTTGGGTTCAAGCCATTCTCCTGCCTCAGCCTCCCGAGTAGCTGGGATTACAGGCACGTGCCACCATGCCCGGCTAATTTTTGTATATTTATTAGAGATGGGGTTTCACCATGTTGGTCAGGCTGATCTCGAACTCTGACCTCATGATCTGCCTGCCTTGGCCTCCCAAAGTGCTGGGATTACAGGCGTGAGCCACCACACCCGGCATGATCTTCTTTTAAGCTTAGATCCACATTCTTTGTCTGGCTGGACGTGGTGGCTGGCACCTGTAATCCCAGCACTTTGGGAGGCTGAAGCAGGTAGATCACCTGAGGCCAGGTGTTTGAGACAAGCCTGGCGACATGATGAAACCCCATCTCTACTACAAATAAAAAAATCAGCCTGGCTTGGTGGCAGGTGCCTGTAATCCCAGCTACTCAGAAGTCTGAGGCAGGAGAATCACTAACCCGGGAGATGAATGTTGCGGTGAGCTAATATCGTGCCACTGCACTCTAGCCTGGGCAACAGACTGAGACTCTGCTTCAAAACAAACAACAAAAAAAAAAAAGAAAGAAAAAACAAACACCCATATTCTTTGTTGTCACTCTTTAAAGCCCAGGAACATAACCTGAAGCAACTTCAGGTTAGGATGGTATATTCATTTCCTAGAACTGGGCAACAAATGATTACAAGCTGGCTGATTTAAAACAAATTTATTTTCTCCTAGTGGTGGAGGCCAGAAGTCCAAAAATCAAGAGTTGGCAGGGCCACATTCCTGCTGGAGCCTCTTCCAGCTCCTGGTGGCTCCGGGCATTGCTTAGCTGCAGCTGTGTCCCTCCAGTCTCTGCCTCTGTCCTCATGTGGGCTTCCTCCCTGGTCTTTCGGTGTGGACAGGGACACTTGGTGGATTAGGGCCCACCCTTCATCACATTTCCAAATACGATCGTATTCTGAGGTTCTGCGTGGGCATGAATTTTTGAAGGAGGCACCGTTCAACCCACTACATGGTAAACTGACCAATTAATAACAAAAATATTTCTTTTCACTTCTAGAACCAAAATATTCATTCGTTTCCCCAGAACTCTGTTTGCTACTGAAGATGCCTTTGAATTCAGTAAACATCAACTAGGTATGATTTCTTTTTCTGCCCTATTTCAATAGAGCATGAAATGAACAAGGTGAGCTTGAGGGTGAATCTTAAACACGAATGTTTGATATATGTTAGAAACATTCACTTGGGAACTAGGAACGAGATAAGGGATTGTGATAAGACACATGTGAATTTGTTTTAACGAGTGTTTGGAGGTTGGCCCCAGATGCCGGCAGAAGTTCTCGTTCGGGTCAGATCCTGTTGTTCACTACGAGGCTGTAAAACCATGAGAGACCATCCCCTTTAAATTAAGGTTTTCAAAACTTCACTTGTCTGAATGTCTGGTGTTGGAAAGTGTGGCTTCAAAGCCTGCAGCCAGGGTGTTTGTTGGAAACCGTTAATGAGAAAAGTTAGATGGGGCAATGCAAAAAGTAAAACATCAAAACTACGGGGGGAGGGAGCTTCGCCTTTGAAATCTAACCTATCTGTCAAGAACTATGCTTGAGTAATTGAGGGCCTGCCGTACGCCAAGTGAACAAGTCCTTTATACCATGGTCTCATTCTGTTCTCAGAACAGACCTGTGAGGGGTAGGGGTTATATCATCTTTGCTTTCTATGCAGGGAAACTGAGGCACAGGGGTGTTGGTAACTCGTTGAAGCCTACACAGCAAGTAAACAGCAGAGCTGGGGTTTGCATGTGGGTCTGTCTTGGCAGTCTCATTTTCTGAACTCTGTAGCAGTGGGCACAATGGCTGGGGATCTGGTTGGAGGGCCACATTTGGGTCAGCAGGGCCTGAGCCAGCATCTCTAACTAGCTCACAGAGAACAGGACGCAGCTGCTCTGCAAGGCCCTTGATGAACTTGGCCTCTGATGGGACCTTAGTTGCTGTGTGGAGGGGGTGGATGGATGGTGCAGAAGCCAAGGCGAGTGTTTTGTGGTCGGACCTGGGTTCGTGCTCCTCCTTAGCTGTGTTACCCAGCAAGTGTCTTCACCAGCTGTCTGAGCCTGCGTGCCCATTTATAAAATGTGTTGATGATGACTGCCTTGTGGGGTGGGGTATGAAAATGAAATCTAATGCCTGGCATGGAACTGGGGGCGCTCTTAGCACTAGGTCTGTTCCTTGCCCTGGAAAAAGAAAAGAGAAAGGCAGGAAGGAAACTCCAGTTACGGGGCAGCATCTGGGAGCCAGGCATCATGTACCCAGCCAGCTTGCAGGTCAGCAGTGCTGAACTGGCTTCTTGAAACATCACTACACCACAGGCCTTTGAGGGCCCCTTCCATTGTCCCCCCAACACTCCCGAAGGTCACAATAAGATGCACACATGCAAAGCCATTTCACCAAAACTTCTGTTTTGTTTTAAGTTGCAAGAATCCAGGCCACGTACAAAAGCTGCCTAGGAAGGAGAGATTACGTGAAAAAAAGACAAGCAGGTAAGAAATAGAAACACACCAGCTTGCTCTCCTTCCTTCCTGCCTAACCCACCCTCCCTCCCTCCGTTCCTCCCTCCCTTCCTTCCTTCCTCTTTCTCTCTTTCTGATGGAGTCTGGCTCTGTCACCCAGGCTGAAGTGCAGTGGTGCTTATCAGCTCACTGCAACCTCTACTTACAGGGTTCAAGTGATTCTTCTGCCTCAGCCTCCCCAGAAGCTGGGACTACAGGCATGTGCCACCATGCCTGGCTAATTTTTATATTATTAGTAGAGACAGGGTTTTACCATATTGGCCAGGCCAGTCTCGAACTCCTAACCTTGTGATCCAGCCACCTCGGCCTCCCAAAGTGCTGGGATTATAGACGTGAGCCACTGCAACTGGCTTGCTCAGTTTCTCATCTGCTTGGCACCTGGGGCATATTTGCAAGTTCTCTCCCCCAGCTCATCCTTAAAATCTTGGTGTGGAGCTATCTCGGGGTCCAGTTCTGGAGCTTCTTCTCATTTTTACCTTATTCTTTGGAGATTATAACATAGTGGCCTGTATTCTGTTCCACAGGTATGTTTTATTTGACCTACAATATGTGTGCATTTAAAGAATAATTTTGTGGGCCAGGCGCAGTGGCTCATGCCTGTAATCCTAGCACTTTGGGAGGCTGAGGCAGGTGGATTACTTGAGCTCAAAAGTTTGAGACCAGCCTGGGCAACATGGTGAAACTCTGTCTCAACCGAAAAACAAACAGACAAAAATTAGCCAGGTATGGTGGTTAATGCCTGTAGTCCCAGCAACTTGGAGGGCTGAGGCGGGAGGATCATTTAAGCCCAGGAGGTCGCAGTAAGCCATGATAGAACCAGTACGCTCCAGCCTGGGCAACAGACTGAGACCTTGTCTCATAAAACCAAAGAATAATTTTTGAAAAAGGTTTCCAACATACAAGTACCCTTGAAACTGTCCATTTTCTATCTCTGCCCGGTCACGTTCTCAAACCACGCTCCCACCCATACGCACACATTTCATGGAAGTAACCACTTGTTTGAATTTGCCATTCATCATTCTCTTTTTTTTCCTTCAATAGTTTCACTATCTATGGATGTGTCTCTAAATAATATGTTTACAATTTGGCATGTTTTAATAAAACTATACTCTTGGTATTTTGAATGACATTTTTGCATTCCAAATTGTTTTTGAAATTCAACCAAAAGATGTGTGTAGATTTAGTTCATTTTCATAGCTGTGTAGTATTCCACTGTAGCAGAGGTCAGCATGATAGGAAGTATTTTAGACTTGGGGGTCCTGTGGTCTCTGTCACAGCTATTCAAGTCTGTCATGGTAGCAGGAAAGTAGCTTCAGATGATATGTAAATGAATGGGCAGGGCTGTGTTGAAATAAAACTTTATTTACATAAACAAGTGGCGAGCTGTAATGGGCCCGTCCCTGAGCTATGAGTATGCCACAACTTAGCTGTTCTGTTGATGGACATTTGGGTTGATTCAAATTGCTTATTTTTATAATAGAAACAATGCCGTTCTGAGGATTAAAAGCATTTAAAAAATCTGAGTAACACACACAAAAAAATAAAAAAATCTGCAAAGCATTTAAAAATTGGGAAACAGGCTGGGCATGGTGGCTCATACCTGTAATCCCAGCACTTTGGGAGGCTGAGGCAGAAGGACCACCTGAGGTCAGGAGTTTGAGACTAGCCTGGCCAATATGGGGAAACCCTGACTCTACTAAAAATACAAAAAATTAGCTGGGTATGGTGACACATGCCTGTAATCCCAGCTACTCAGGAGGCTGAGGCAGTAGAATTGCCTGAACCCAGGAGGTGGAGGTTGCGGTGAGCCAAGATGGCGCCATTGCACTCCAGCCTGGGTAACAAGAACAAAACTCTGTCTCAAAAAAAAGAGTACAAAAAAATAATTAGCCATACATGGTGGTGCACGCCTGTAATCCCAGCTGCTCAGGAGGCTAAAGCAGGAGAACTGCTTGAACCCAGGCAGCAGAGGTTGTAATGAGCCAAGGTCACGCCACTACACTCCAGCCTGGGTGACAGCACGAGACTCCATTTCAACTTTAAAAAAAAAAAAAAGAGCGAAATAAGCTGGAACCTAGTTTTATGTGCTCTGGCTTGTGTACCCGTTTTTAAATGTGGACAACTAAAAGTAAACTCCGGTGAGAAACATGGTGTTGAGACTAATCTGTACTTTCATAAGTGCCATTACTGTGCCTGAAAAGACCCTGGGAAATGACCCCCTCACGTAATTTCAGGGCTTCCCTGGAAACCTTCCACAGACCCCTTCTGTTCTGTTTCCATCTGGTTCACTTGTTGCCTGAGCACTCCCAGGTAAGAAGTGATGACATTTGCCAGACTCAGTGGCTCATGCCTGTAATCCTAGCACTTTGGGAGGCCAAGGTGGGCAGATCACGGGGTCAGGAGATCGAGACCATCCTGGCCAACATGGTGAAACACTGTCTCTACTAAAATTACAAAAATTAGCTGGGTATGTGCATGCCTGTAATCCCAGCTGAGGCTGAGGCACAAGAATTGCTTGAATCCAGGAGGCAGAGGTTGCAGTAAGCCAAGATGGTGCCACTGCACTCCAGCCTGGGCAATAGAGTGAGACTTGGTCTCAAAAAAAAAAAAAAAAAGAACTAATGACATTCATTTGACCTTCCATCTCTGAGGTTAACAGAGTGCTGCAGTGGGTGGTGGGTGTCCAGATGTTTGTTGAATGCATAAAGACTTCTGGAAAAGCCCCCTGTATTTCCATGCGATTCTATTCACCTTCTAATGCCAGCAGTAAACTCTTTCAGCCATCAAACTGGAAGCCCACTGGCGTGGAGCCCTGGCTCGGAAGGCAATGAAAAGGAGAAAGTGGGCCGTGTGGATTATCAGAAAGTAAGTTCTCAGGTACAACAGAGAGAGAGGTCGCAAAATGCTGGTGCCCTGCAGGGGATGGTCATGGTGGTAGATGAGTTCTTTGTGATTTTCGGATTCATGCAGAAAGGAAAAGCTCCCTTCAGAATGCCTTAGGAATTCAGTTCTATCCCTTTGCTCTGAGCTGAATTTGATGGTGATCACAACTCAATATATTTGGGATTTCTCTTAGCCTGGCTCAAAGGTCACAAAGTCAAATGCCTTCTGATGCCAGGCAGGTAAAGTGAGTGAGTCTCATGAGCTGGGAAAACACAACAGGGCATGATAGAGACTGCAGCAAACTGGAACGCTCAGTCCACCTCCAGCAGGGGCAGTATTCCAGGGCCCATTCCAGTTTCTGCTGCTGTGGGGAAATGTAGGCAGATGGCTTAAATTTTCAAGGAATGCTGAGATCCAGCTTTTGGTTGTTGTGGGGTTTTTTGTTTTGTTTTGCTTTGTTTCTTTTGAGACAGAGTCTTGCTCTGTCACCCAGGCTGGAGTACAGTGGTGCAATCTCGGCTCACTACAACCTCTGTCTTCTGAGTTCAAGCCATTCTCCTGCCTCAGCCTCCTGAGTAGCTGAGATTACAGGCACATACCACCACGCCCAGCTAAATTTTTTGTAATTTTAGTAGAGACAGGGTTTCACCACGTTGGTCATGCTAGTCTTGAATTCCTGACCTCAAATGATCCACCTGCCTCAGCTTCCCAAAGTGCTGGGATTACAAACTTGAGCCACCATGCCCGGCCTTGAAATCTGGCTTTTATGTACTACTTCCTAACTTTTTTAAATGGGCAACTAATTCAAGCTCGTCAAAACAAAACAAAAGGCAGTGTGGTTGAAACAACATATGTGTGGGGCAGATATGGCCTGTGGGCTACATTCCTGGCTTCTGGCCTATGTGGTCATCTCAACAGCCTCTACCACTTTGGCCTCCTTTGAATCAAAGGAGGAGGAAAAGAAAATACATCTCAGTGAAGAAATGGTCCAGAAGAGTAACAAAGCATTTTCCTTTTTAGATTCATCAAGGGATTCATCAGTCGTAACAAACCCCTCTGCCCTGACAATGAGGAATTTATAGAGATTGTGCGGAAGAAGTACATCTTGAATCTCCGGTATCACCTTCCAAAGACTGTCTTGGACAAGAGCTGGCTGACGCCTCCTGGAATCTTGGAAAATGTAAGGACTGATCTGGGATTCCAGTGTCATAAGTAACATGGGTACTGACGGAGTATAACTCTCGTATTTCTTTGTGCCGCTTCCCTTCCCAAGGATGCTGCACAGGAAATTGAACTCCTCAGAATTTGTGATATCCATATTAGCGTTACACCCACTGGAGGCTGTTTAAACAGAGCACTTTGGTCTTGTTTTGTTGGTTTTTCTTTTCTTTTTTTTTTTTTTTTTTTAGATGGAGTCTCGCTCCGTCACCCAGGCTGGAGTGCAGAGGCGCGATCTCAGCTCACTGCAACCTCCGCCTCCCAGGCTCCAGCGATTCTCATGTGTCCGCCGCCTCCCAAGTAGCTGGGATTATAGGCGCCCACCACCATGCCTGGCTAATTTTTGTATTTGTAGTAGAGATGGAGTTTTTCCATGTTGGCCAGGCTGTTCTTGAACTCCTGACCTCACGTGATTTGCCTGCCTCAGCCTCCCAAAGTGCTGTGATTACAGATGCGAGCCACCATGCCCGGCCGACAGAGCACTTTTGAAGCGTTTCCATTCTTGGTCTAGCCTTCCCAGAACAGCATCTCTCAAGAGATCATCCGAGGACCCTCTGTGTCTGGAACTTAGAGTCGGGGCTGTTGAAAGATTCCTGGGCTCTACTTTGGACCCACTGAGTCAAAATCTCCAGGAATTTCATTATAGCCAGTTCTGCAGGCAAGTCATAAACATATTCAAGTTTGAGAATCATTAGTTAAGCAAGAGCAAAAAGTTGGGAGAGGATCGGGTTAGCTGCTGTAACTGTAAAATCCAAACTGTTAACACTGGGCCAGGTGCGGTGGCTCCCACCTGTAATTCCAGCACTTAGGGAGGCCGAGGCGGGCAGATCATGAGGTCAAGAGATCAAGACCATCCTGACCAACATGGTGAAACCCCATCTCTACTAAATTAGCCGGGCATGGTGGCGCATGCCTATAATCCCAGCTACTTGGGAGGCTGAGGCAAGAGAATCGCTTGAACCCGGGAGGTGGAGGTTGCAGTGAGCAGAGATTGCACCACTGCACTCCAGCCTGGTGACAGAGCCAGACTTCGTCTCAAAAACAAAACAAAACAAAAACACTGTACTTGAAATCAAACTTAATTCAGCAGGGATTTTTAAGCTTCATTTTGATCGCCATAGCCCCAGACAGGGTGTGAGTGAAAAGAAGTGTGTTCTCCATACAGGCATCAGAGCTGCTCAGGAACATGTGCGTGAGGAACCTGGTACAGAGGTACTGCCGGGGCATCACGGCTGAGCGGAAAGCAATGGTAGGGACGTGATGTCTGCAGTGGCAGGTGGTGGAGGGAGGGAGGGTGGGTCCTGAGTGTCAGTCCTCCTCATCCACCATTTCACCTATAAGCTAGGGGTCATGCTAGTCCCATGCCTTGAAGTGTTAAGGATAAATGTATGTAGACCAGCAGAGAACCCTCAATGAATGCCAGCTGTGACTGTAATCAGCATGGCTCCCTTTGCTACCATGGGAACACAATCACAATGGCTCCTGCGATCCATCAGTGGGAGCAGAGAATGTAGACCCCTTTCTGCTGGCGATCTGTTTTTCACTGCCGCTAACCTGCAGGTCTTTTGTGTAAAGGGCTGGAAGAGTAACTATTTCAGGGTTTGTGGCTTTCTGTGTTACAATTACTCAACTCTGCTGCTACAGTGAGAAAGCAGCCCTGGACAATGTGTGCGTGAATGGCATGGCTCTGTTCCAACAGAAGGTTACTTATAAAAATGGACAGCAGGCCGAGTATGGCCGCAGGCTGTGGCTTGCTGATCTCTGATGTACAAGAAACTGCTCTGGGAACTCTGAAACGATCTCTGATCTGTAAGAAACCGCTCTGGGAAGTCTGAAAACTCCACTTATGGGAAGGTGTAAGGAATCGAGCAGAAATGTCAACCCAGTCTATATAACCCCAGTATAACTTTTAGGGCATTTTGGCCAAAACTAGGAAGGTGTTCTGACTCGTATGCTCCAGGGTAACAAAGCTCCCATAATTTCTCCAGCAAAGGATGTGACCTCAATTGGTCTAGAGCTCCTCTATCCCAAAGAGGCCCGTGGCTACCATTTTTATAATTTCAATTGTGTATTACCAGATGCAGCAAAAGGTAGTTACAAGTGAAATCTTCAGAGGAAAGAAAGACGGCTACACAGAAAGTTTAAATCAACCCTTCGCCAACAGTCGGATAGGTAAGTACATTTTCCAGCCTATACTTGGCTTCCCAATTCTAAAAGCAGTCAAAGGGCAGGGTGCAGTGGCTCACACCTGTAATCCCAGCACTTTGGGAGGCCAAGGTGGGCGGATTTCCTGAGCTCAGGAGTTCGAGACCAGCCTGGCCAACATGACGAAACCCCATCTCAACTAAAGTACAAAAAATTAGTAGGGCGTGGTGGCAAAGACCTGTAGTCCCGGCTACTCAGGAAGCTGAGGCAGGAGAATAGCTTGAACCCAGGAGGCAGAGGTTGCAGTGAGCCAAGATCTCGCCACTGCACTCCAGCCTGGGCAACAGAGCGAGACCGTCTCCAAAAACATAAAATTTAAAAAGTCAAAGGAAGATGCTCAACTCTGCAGCATTACCTGACAGCTATTTCCACAACTGAGATCTTTAGCACAGAGGTACATAACAGAACTAGCAGATACTAGTGACATTCCACAGGGTTGGTATTTCAGTGATGGTTGATGGCATTCTGCTTCCCTTCCTAGATGAAGGAGACATCAATCCCAAAGTGCTTCAGCTAATTAGCAATGAGAAAATCCAGGTAAGGCAGTGCATGCCCTCAGTCTCAAACAGGATTCTCTCATCAAATCTGAGAGCAGGGTCTGCTTTCTCCATAAAGGGAACACTATTTAAATGCAGGGGTGCAGCTGGGCAGCTGGGACTCTCAACTGTGATGTTCTGGGTATTAACTAAGATGACGGAAAAAGGATGGTCAGATAACCGTTACCGTTCTCATGATCCCCCTCTGTCGCCCTAGAAACGGTCTTCGTTTGCTTTCCTATGAAATTGAGTGAAATGTAGCTGTGAATGAACATAATCATGAAACACCCCCGTACGGTGAGAGGCAGTGCGGCATAGTGCCTGGGTGCTGACGCTGGCTTTGAATGCGGTAGCTATGAGATCCTGGGCAGGTCACTTAAGCTCTCGGTGCCTCTGATCTCCTGTGAATGAGGATAATGGGGCTACTGAGAGGATGAGTGAGCCGGTGGGTGAGAGCTGGTTAGGCTGCTACCTGGCACGCAGCAGCAAGTGAAGCCCTGGCGATTGGGTGTGCCAGTGTCTGCTCTGCCCTTTTCTTTTTTTTGGTTCCCTGGGGGAACAGAAGCCAGTGTGACTGGATTGTATTACACTGTGGCTGTAAGAGTTTTTGTCTGACACATCAGAGCAGACCTGCAAGGCAGGTAGCCATATCCTTGACTTCCTCAGAGGGCAACACAGGTACACAGAGCTAGAAATCAAAATCCCCACCACGCGGAGAGCTAGACAAAATCTGCATGCAAAATCTGTCTGAGCCTCTCTGAATGCTTGGCATCACTTTAGCGGGGTCTTGGTAGCAAGAAACTTGGTATTCTGCCCCACCTAACCCCATGAAGTCACCTTTCCCTTGCAGTATGGTGTCCCAGTCATCAAATATGACAGGAAAGGCTTCAAAGCACGGCGGCGGCAACTCATTCTTACTCAGAAAGCAGCGTATGTGGTGGAACTTGCCAAAATCAAGCAGAAAATAGAGTACTCGGCTCTCAAAGGTAAGAAGTGGGCAGTCTTACAACAATGCACTGAGTTGACTGAACTACTGTAAAGGTCAGTAATGATGCTCCCAAATGGGAAACACATGTATGGTGCCCATAAACCCCAGGGTGGCAATGCACACCTATCGTCTCAGCTACTCGGAAGGCTGAGGTGGGAAGATCACTTGAGCCCGGGAGTTCAGGGCTGCAGTGAGCTATGATTGCACCACAGCACTCCAGCCTGGGCGGCAAAATGACTCTGGCTCCAAAAAAAAAAAAAAAAAAACCCATCTGCCTTCCTTCCCTGGCGTTGCCTGGCCTGGCCTGCGCTCCTTATTCTGGTGTAAGTATTAATAGCCCCACTTTACTCAAGTACCCAAGTTGGGCAATAGTCTCCTTCCACAGTGATCAGAGCCCAATAGCAGGCAGATTTCTAAAGGATGCCCCTCCTCCTTCCGGGCCTAGCTAGGAGAATGAAGTGTGGGGTTGGGCAGCCCCTGGGCGTATCTCTTCTCTGTACTAATGTCAAGCTGTCTAGTTCCTGGCCCCTAACTCTGGATCTGTCTTAAGGTGTCTCCACTAGCAATCTGAGTGACGGAATCTTAGTCATTCATGTTTCACCGGAGGACAACAAGCAAAAGGTAATTGACAGGCACCAGTCTCTACTAAAAGAAACGATACATTGCCGAAATGTTAAGTTGGCCGCCGTGAAACCTCTCTATTGGAATGTCTGTTTCTTTAAGCTGTGAATACTGAAATCACACCCTGTCTCCTCCCCACCCCAGGGGGATGCTGTTTTACAGTGTGGACACATGTTTGAAGCGGTTACCAAACTCGTCATGCTGGTTAAGAAGGAGAATATTGTCAATGTTGTTCAAGGAAGGTAGGTGGCTTCACCTTCAGCTCAGGAAGCAATTCAATGTTAAAATGTTTATTAAGGCCCAGCATGGTAGCTCATGCGTGTAATCCCGGTACTTTGGGAGGATGAGGCGAGCAGATAACTTGAGGCCATGAGTTTAAGACCAGCCTGGCCAACATGGTAAAACCCCATCTCTACTAAGAATACAAAGATTAGCCAGGCGTGGTGGTGCACACCTGTAATCCCAGCTACTCAGTAAGCTGAGGCATGAGAATCACTTGAACCCAGGAAGTGGAGGTTGCAGTGAGCCGAGATTGCACCACTGCCCTCCAGCCTGGGCAACAGAGCTAGACCCTGTCTCAAAAAAAAAAAAAAAAAAAAAAATGCCTTACAGATCGAGGAAAATGCAAATGTTAATGTTTTCACTCCTGCTTACCTTCTACTTCCAAAATAATCAAGTATCATCTCTACCAGTAAGGGGTGAGAAACAAGCCTCTAGTGTTATATCCTTGCCCTCTCCCATAAAGAACTTTTTTCCATCTTCATCCCTGTGATCTTGGGCTCCAGAGAAATGAAGTCAGTGAAGGCAGGATACCCTGGAGAGCTGTTTCTTTTCCCTCAGCCTGTGCTGTTCCAGGTTTTAACAACCAGAGGAGCACATTGTATGTGGAATAGGGAGAGAGTCGAGTGCTTTGAAATGTGTTGTCTTTATGTTTCTGTACCTCTGAGGGAATCCTCAGCCCCTCAAGAGATTCAGCGTGATGTGGCCCTTGAAGAACTGAGTGTGCTCAGTTGATTTTGCAGTAATTACAGAAACATGTAAGTTGCCCAGCTGTGGCAACAGCGTTCTTCTTTTCCTCAAATATGCAATAAAACCCTGTAATAAAACAGGAATTTGATCTTGAAACTAGCGGAGTTTCATAAATGAACTTCTTTTGCAGACCAAAGGTCGAGAGAAGAAAACACAGTATGTCAGTAATGTGTCACTTTGTGATTTTAAGTTTACAGTTTTATATTAGTCCGGGAAAAGAAGGCACAATAGTTTTCAACACTGGACCAGAAGAACGGATCTATAAAGATAAAAATGGACAATTAACAGTGGTGAGTGGCCATCTCTGGGATGGAAGTAAGTTGTTTTAGATCAGAATATAAGTTAAAGTTCTGCCAATTTCAGTCCTATAAATTGACTGGAATCATAAGCTATTAATAGTTCATTTCTGCCCTCTTCCTAATTCTGCATCTGTAAGACAGGAAGAAATTGATATAGAAATATATACATCTAAACACGGAATGAGAAAAGAAAGAAGCTTACATCCTTAAGTTGTCAGTGAATCAGAAGATGACATAGGACACTTCTCAAATAGCAGAGTCTGACTTTTCACTGGGGTGGTGAAGGCTTTATGCCGTATTACAGTGGCTATCCATAACTTGCCTCCGTGTTGAAATCAATGGGCTTGTGTCACACCCAGACACTGAGACTAATTGGGCTTTGGGATGTAAGAGATCCCCAGGTCTACCAGCACAGAGGTTTTGGAACCATGGCTGTGTTAGGGAGAAATCTAGTCTGAGCACACAGATACGCTGCCTTCCCTGAGTGTGTCCATGCTCGGCTGAGGGTCCCAGTGGTCCTCACTGGCATGTAGTACACAGAGCTTGTTTTGATCCAGTTTTGCTGAAAAATGACACATTAAGAGCAGACAGGGCTGAATCTTTAAAATGTATCTTATATTATACCAAGAATTTTGATACAAATTATTTTAAAAAATGGTCTCTCAACATGGAGTGTCTCATACACATTTAAGTTTACGTGGATTTACCTATAAAGTCATTTTGTAGGTTGGGTGCAATGGCTCATGCCTGTAATCCCAGCACTTTGGGAGGCTGAGATGGGCGGATCAACAGAGGTCACGAGTTCAAGACCAGCCTGGCCAACATGCTGAAATCCTGTCTGTAGTAAAAATACAAAAATTAGTTGGGTGTGGTGGTGCACGCCTATAGTTCCAGCTGCTCAGGGAGGCTGAGGCAGGACCATCACTTGAACCCGGGAGGCAGAGGTTGCAGTGAGCTGCGATCACACCGCTGCACTCCAGCCTGGATGACAGAGTAAGACTCTGTCTCAAAAAAATAAAATCATTTTGTAAGCAGAAAATAACTGCCCTGAACACAATTAACGCCTTTGGGGACAAGTTAAAATAAGAATCATTTTGGATGCAGACTACAAGGTGGCTTTTTAGTTTACACGCTGTCTTAAAAGTGACATCCTGGAGACTGTGTATCTCTCCTCTGGAGTCACACGGAGTCCATCTTTCTCCCTGACTGGTTCTGGCTGAAGAGGCTGACAGGCCTCCGTGTGCCAGTTTCTAAGTCTGGCTTGTCTCATGGGAGGTGGGGCTGGTTTCTCACAGGCCCTTCACACCCACCTTGCTAATGGTGACAGTTGAGGTGATAACTGTTTCCTTTTGAGCAAAGGGAGCTGGGAGGGCTCGAAACCAAAGTGTGCCTCTCTCCCAGGTGTCGGTCCGGAGGAAATCCTGATAGAGGATGGCGTCTGACCTCTACCATCACCATTTTTGCTCCAACTGAGGAAATTACAGAAGTGGGGATTGGCTCCAGTTAGCTACCTCTTCAAGGAATGAGGCCGCAGCACTAATGGATCACATCTGAAGAAACTGAGGGGTGCATTAGGCCAAAGTCTAACCCCAGCTTCTCACTGCCCCGTGGCACCACATTAAAATGTCTTCTGGAAGCAGACGCCCAGGTCACCCGAAGGTGTGATTCTAAACACCCTCGACGGGACCTATGTTCGAAGGTGGGCAAGATTCTCTACCTCTGTCAGGCTGCCCCAAGACATGATGAAATACTGTGTACAGCAAGTTCTCAAATAACATCATTTCTTCATACACTGGTAAGGAAAATATCTGATTCCTGGCCAAGGCCGCTGGGTGGAGTCTGTACGTTCTCCCCATGTCTCTGGGTTTCTTCTGGGGGCTCTGGTGTCCTCCCACATCCCCAAGGTGTGTGTGTCAGGTGAACTGGTATGTCTATGCGGTCCCTGTCTGAGTGCGTGTAGGTGTGTGACTGAGCCCAGTAAGGGGAGGGTATCCTGTCCAAAGTGGGTCCCACCTTGTGCCCTGAACTTCGGGGATTGGGCTCTGGCCATCTGCAACCCTGAAGATGCAGGTTGGATAACGAATTAATATAAATTATTGTAAAATAAAAATGTATATAAAGTATATGATCACACAGATGGACAATAAATGGTGCAGTGCAAAAAGTGTGTAGCAAACCAGCCACGCTTGTGACTGGGAAGGGGCTCTCTGTAATTTTCCATTTGCAGGCGTTTATTCACTGATTTATGCGGCCACCACCAGGACTACCATCACTCAACTGATTCACCAAAAATCAGGTCATTTTTAATTAAATGTATGTGTAGCTCATCGATTTCAATGTTTAAATATGAGCAGTGCTTTGGTCTTTATTTAGAAGTTGGGTGATGTTTCTGTGCCCAGCATCATGCTGTAGGAACCTAACTCTTGTTTACATCCATTAGCCTAATGGCTTTGCTTCAAGTCTCAACTATTAGTGACTTACGGTGTATGGTCTGAGACTAAGTAAAGAAAATTTCCTAAAGCTGCGAAATTTAAATTCGGCTTTAAATAAATGGAACTCAGATGCATCAAGGGATTGGGTTTGGTGAACTGAAGCCTTCTGCCCCATAATAGTAAATCGGTGGGAACAGCAGCTAATTCTTTTTACAAGCCAGGCAGCCTTTGACCCAAGACTTCCTTTTGGTGTTTGAATTCAAACACCACAGAAACATGACTTGTCTTTCCCTTCCATCCTGAGTGGCTTTAAGGGGGTGAGGTAGAATGTAGGGGCCTGCCTTTGCTGTAAACTGTGCCAGGCAAGTCTGAAAAGACCCAGAAACAGAAGCATTATATGACTTTTATTTTACATGTCCATAAATGTTTGCACAGTATACAGCGATTACATCTAAGTTTGAGCATTTTTAATAGCACAAAAAGACAGAAAGGTTAATGACACACTTAACTGTGTTACAGTGACTTTGGGTAGAGCCCTAAAGCAGCGCACGCTCCAGCGCGAGGGCTGAGTGCTGTTCACACTCCTCAGGTCCTGAATCCATGTTGTAAGGTACGGAGACACACAAACTAACTGGGAAAAGGGGTCCCCGCACAGTGGTCCCCCCGCAGGAGGGTGACAGAATATGCCAGGAATTGTCTCGGGCATGGGCCCCAGTCACTACAATCAGAGGACTTATTTAAAACAAACAAAAAAACCCTTGATGACAACACACCAAAGCTGTTCCAATTTGTAAACAATTGTAGTTATTACAATGCAGTGAAACCTGACTCTTTACCAAAGCTTGGGCCAATGCTTTACTTGGACAGTGCTTACATGATAAATACTGGGTTTTGCCCTTAGAGCCAACATAAATCAGTTCCTTGTATATTCAGTAACAGAGCTTGGACCAGCCAATGCTATCTGTCCACTCATGGCTATGATGCAGCCTACAGAATCTTCACCATGGAATGTTTTATAAACCTGTTCACATTCCAGAGAGACAGACTCAAAACTACAGGTGCAAAGTTGGAGGAAAAGTGAGGGTAGAGAGCTGCCAGAAACACTAGCTCATTCAGCATAGGAACCACAGCAAATCAGATTGTTCCACAAACTCATTCTTCACACAGACATTTAAAAAACGATTTATATGGCTGGGTGTGGTGGCTCATGCCTGCAATCCCAGCACTTTGGGAGGCCAAGGCAGGCAGATCACAAGGTCAGGAGTTTGAGACCAGCCTGGCCAATGTGGTGAAACCAAAACCCCATCTCTACTGAAAATACAAAAATTAGCGGGGCGTGGTGGCAGGTGCCTGTAATCCCAGCTACTCGGGAGGCTGAGGCAGGAGAATCTCTTGAACCTGGGAGGCAAAAGTTGCGGTGAATAGAGATTGTACCCCTGCACTCCAGCCTGGGTAACAGAGTGAGACTTCGTCTCAAACAAAAAAACAGAAAAAACACACCTATTTGTACAATGGCTTTTCCGTCTTCTGGGCCGACGTTCACCTCAACTTTCTAAAAAAGCTCAACCCAAAAGGCAGGGTTGGTGTTTAAAATTTAAACAGTAGAAAATATGAAACATTATTTTGTAAGCCCTCTTTCCTTAGCACTTAATAAAATCCAAATAGCCTAATATAAAAGTTTCTCACACGACAGTTTAAAAAGTGTGCGCCCGGTACATGATTTTGACATTCAGTCATGATTGTTTGAAAGTTTTATTGTAGGCTTTGCTGCTGGATACAAAATGAAGGCATACAACTGTCACAGGCAGGGCAGTACGTACAAAGTCTAAGCTGTAAAAACCGTTTGAAAATATAAACTCGCTTTTTGAAATATATTTGTCAAAGGCTGCCCATGTTAATACCTTTGGTATAAAACAGTTAACGATTCCCTTGACCAACCCATCCATCAGCTGACACACAGTCACAACTCCTGATAACGATAACTACTACCTAGTCTAGTCTCAACCACCCCTGTCAGTCATGACTCACTCCTATTCCTTTGCAGGCGCAGAGGAGCCTGGGAGGTAGGTCACTGAGAACACCCATCCTATACGGGTGCTGCGCCCAGCTGGGCTCTGGCAGGGGCCACCTGTGCCCCACAAGCACACATCCCCACCCACAGTCGCACACATCCCTTAAACAAACATGAACACAGACACAAACCAGACCCAAAGGTATCTATCTACCCCGACATCCTCAACCTGTTCACTGCTGTCCACTTTACACTGTATAAAAATCAGAGGCAAAGACAAGGGGGTCTGTATTTACAGCAGGGAAGCTCCCTGGGGCTGGTGGTGTGAGGGTGTCCCTGCCTGGATGCCAGACTGGGAGGACAAAGGGTCTGGGCCACACTGAATTTCTAAGCAAACTGACTTAGAAAGTTAGCCCAGCTTCACAGGGAAGAAGACTGAAGAGGAATGGGATCCCTGGTAGGGGTAGTTTGTGACCCGTGCCTGTCACAGAGTCAGATGGCCTTCCTGGAGAGGAGTGGTGCCAACCAGGAAAACAAGTGGAGGGGGCTAGAGCTGGGGAAAGAATCAGAAGCAGAGCTGGACACTTCCTGCCATGGAAAGCTCTGCTCCTACGCAGACACGTGGGGTCCCAGTAAGCACCGGGCCAAGGACCAGCCCCCAGTGGCAAAAGACTTGCAACCACAGTTGCACTAGTCATGATTCAGAGGCTCATTCAGCCACTTTCCACTGCCACAAGCTGCAATTATCAACATGCTCTAGGCCCAAAGCCACATGGCAGAAAGCACTTCTAGCAAAGCGGTGGGGATTGTGCCTGGGCCAAACACACAGGAACCAGGAGCAGACCTGCTGGGGCTGGAAGATTATGAATTAGGAACCAGGGAGCTCAGATACCTCTGGTGGCCTCCAATGGCAGAACAACTCTGGGAATTGTCAAACTGAACTCTTAAGGGAGTGTCACCCAAAAAGCTCATATAGGAAGTCAACACCCACAAAAATAAATATTGCAAACAAAAGTTCTCACATACATTTCACACACATTCATACTTCCTCTGAGAACCGAGAAAGCCTGGCTCCAAAGAGTCTCAGATTCTCATGAAAAGTAGAGATCTTAGACTCGGCTTGTTCAACAACGGGGGCACACGCGTGGGTCAAGACCATCAATTTGCCTTGTCAAGAAATACCAAAATAATCACCTGGCTTATTACAAAAGTATCTCCAGGCTCCAGGGAAAGTGGAAGGGGCCCGGCAACCTGCACAGGATCTGGGCGTAGCGCGGCAGGGAGTGGGGGCGGTGGGAGGAGGGCGGCTGGTCGCTTGCCTGCTCACTGGTGGAGGTGGGCCCGGTCGTCGGGGCGCTTGATGTGGATCCGCCGCACACGCTCAATCCGCTCCCGCTCCCGCTCCTCATCCTCGTCCAGGTGGTGGGAGCGCCCCGCTGCCCCGCCTGTGGCCTCCAGGAGTGCATTATCAGGTCCCCGGCCGTCCTGGGCCTCATACAGCAAAATGTTCAGGGTTTCCTCATAAATCCGGGCTTCGGGGAACTCCACCTGTGTTCCCACAAAATACAGGGCAGGTAAGTTACGGCCTAACCCCTCTGCCAAACACCTGCACTAATTTAAGCAGCGCCACCAGGCTCAGTCAGGCCCCTGGGATTCTGCTGAAGGCCACCAGTATTATTTTTAAATAAACTGATATTTACAATGGCAACTTATATGTGGCACTAAATGCACAAAAAATCAAGGGGACGCAGAGAAACAGGTATCCCTCCCCCCAGTTTCCCTTCTTAAAGGTACAATTTTTCATTCTTTTACCCTCTCCAAGAGATTCTGTGCTGTGAATATAGGTTCATATATATTCATACACTTCAAAAAACACATAAGGTGGTCCCAAACACAGACTTGAACGTGTCTTCCTCTCATCTCTAACTTAACCTGGAGATCAATCTTCATCAAGAAATTATAAATACGATAATGCAATTAACCAATTCACTTGGATGGACATTTAGGTCAGTGCTAATATACTTCTCCTAACTATCAGAGCTGCAACCTTGCACACAAGTCCTTCCACACCTGAAAGCAGTCTGTAAAGCAGTTTTTTGTACAGGGTCCGGCTGGGGACCCCCAGAAATGGAAATAAGCCCTCCTGCTTGGCAAACCACTGTGTTTTCTCATTGCCCTTCAGAGTTAAGGAGTGATGAAGAGGAGGAGGGCCACATAAGCAGGTCCCACACATGTGATCACAGACTCGACTCCACTTTAAGGGTGGGATTCGGAGGTTCCGGTTCTGGGAAAAATGGAGCAGGCACTCTCTACCCTGTTTTCCTCACTGACACTGCAAAGCCAGGATGCACATAGCAGCTAACTGCGGACTCAGAAGTCAATCATGGCAGGGGGATGAGGGGAACATCAGAATGTGGAGTCATGCCCCACAGCGAGTTCACTGCTTGCTGCTGCCAGCACTGATGCAGCCTGAAGCCCTGCTATGGCCCCAGGACAGAAGAGCTCCAGAAGGTCTCCAGGGAGGCCAACAGGGTCTAACGGGCAGAGAGGCTTCAAGGAAATCCTGCTTTTTTTTTTTTTTTTTAGATATGAGATCTGGCTAATTAAGCTTTAAAATTTTAAGACTTCTCATTATTAGAGCTTTATAAGGAACAAGGGGATTTAGAGACCACGTGGACTGATCCCAAATGTTTCTAGATTAGCAGACAGGT